ATCTGTTCCAGACTGCATTTGTCTTTTGCCGAAGCTCAGACTCTGGCACAGGATCGGGAACGTTGGAAACTCTGCTTGACCTCTCTGCCTCCGCGACCCGAAAGGAGAAGCGGCGATGGAAGATGAAGAAAAGAAATCAAAACCGGGGAAAAAGGTGCAATTTCCATAATTTGTGTTTCATAATAGTTAAAGACATAAAATCTGGCCATTTGGACCCTATTTATCATTATATCAGTTCTTACTGATCTAAAACCATTGTTTTCTTTCGGTCAGAAACTGGTGAATTGGAAAACTTCTAAAACAAAATTAAACAAAAACTGAAATTGCAAACTAAAGTATTAAAAACGACCAGAAAAATTTCATACTAAACAGAAAAGTCCTCAATACCTGACTGATCTTCGGAATTCACACTGCATTTGCCTTCGATACTCGAGTCTTTTTCTGAAATGACTAAAATTAAAAAAAATTAAGCAGCCGCGCAGTAAAAAGATTAATTAGACGATTTTAGCTGAACCGTTTCAGGTCAATTATTAAATGAATTTGTTGATAAAAATATGCAAATGCATCAAAAAGAAGGATAAAAAACTTCTACTTGCTCAACAATTAAAGAATGACCTGGGGCAAGTGCTCGACATACCTTTTTCAAGACTTAGATTATCTAACGCCGAAGCTCAGACACAGAACCTTTGCCTGACGATGCTGCCTCAGAGACTCGGAAGAATAAACGGTCGTCAAAACTGATCGACAAGATGAAGGAGCAAAAAAAATAGCGTTAACGAACAGGATGAATAACAACATGAAGAATTATCAGCATGAATATTTTAAGGAAAATCAACGCAGCCCTTAAATACAAGGAGATGGTGCAGCACTACACATGCAATCACTACTACAGAATTAGTGCAACCAAATCCAGTCTGTTATAAACAAGTAATCACATTATGATGACGTATGACTCCGCTGGTGCAACAAAAATGCAGGTGGTTCGAACAACACTGCTCTTGTGCATATACACACCCCATGGTGCTCGAATATTATGGTGTACTGGCTTGCTTAAACGCCTTTACCTTATAGTAAGTCTGCAGAACCAAAAACATTTTTTAAACAGCATCCCATGTATTGACTTGAATGAGTCATTTTCTATGAACGAATTGGACCAAATATATTCAAGTTGATCTTAAGACCAGTGATAATAAACTGTCATTATAATAATTAATGAGAACGTCCGGTATAAACATATTTGACCGGGATGGAAGGCAAACGAACATGCAGTCGGTCAAGGATGCCTGAAAAGTGTGCAAACTAGCCAAAACCATTTACCAAGATCTAATGAAATAAAAAGCAAAAAAAAGACAAAAATGCTCTCCAGCCCTGCATGCATGCCGAGTCAGACTACGGTGATGTACACTGCAGGACTGACAGATGAAAAGTGGACTTAAACAATGACGGACTGGTATTCATTGACTGAAAGAGCTCAATCAGAATACCTTAGGCACAGACTGCACGATGTGCAAAATGAGGGCCATGGAAGTTTGTGGCATTAAATCGAAAGAGACAGAGCGTTGAAATCAATACTAGGTACAAGTGATTCCCGTTGCTGCTAAGAAGGATCAATCAGATGTCGTCTTAAAGTCAATATGAAGTAAACTGTCTATTTTATACTGCTGCAATGCAAATGTGCAGCACGATTACCATAAAAGTTTTTTTACGCACATGAAAATCCGATTTTTACCCCTATGACGTGGTATTCCTTAGAAAATACGGTACAACAAGAAAATTCGCAAAACACCTATGCGAAATAAGATTTAATTGCTTATTACAACTCCGACTTGAAGTTGGCTATTTGGTTTGCACAAGTTCAATTCATGATTTGTCCTGGTATTCGATAAAATAAAGATCTAAACCTTTCTCCCGTTTAAACAATAGAATGATTACAGTCTGACTTGAAGAAACAGCGAAGCGGCACAAGATCAGATATGTGTTTCTGACAACGCAAATAAATAAATAAAAATAGCAATAATATAGTAATCCAAAGAGAGCAACAGCTTAAAGTCAGCAACAATTCGCAAAGTTATTACGCAAAAACTGACGTACCGACGATCGATTTTGGTCTTGTCGAACGGCAAATCTTGGGCTTGTCCTTTGATGCTTCGGAATCAGACGATCGCCGGAACTGCGGAGAAGTGCTCATGTCCTCCGCGCTGGAAACCTAAATGAAAAACAACACCAATAAAATTCTCACTAACAGCCTCATTCGCATGATTTAGAGTAGAGATACTTTATAAATGATTAAAAATAATGAACCTTAAGTCAACACCGACTCGACGAGAAAAAAGATAGTTCATGAATAGTAGCACTTGGAGACGAACATTCGAAAATCATTCACTGGTACTGTAGTAAATAGCGTAATCAGGTACGTTTCAGCACCACTTACGTTAGCAGATGTCAATATCTACATCGTTGCTTCAACAGAATGACGAAATATAGCACAACTTGTGAAATCATCCAACGCATGTAAAGCAAGCAAGCGTTCAAATCGTTGTGCAACTTGCAACAATAGAAAACTTTGTTTAAAGCAGCTCACCATTTACGATTCATTTCATGCAATAATAAGAGCATGAAATTTGCATTCAGAAACTTACCACTTTATCACAGGCTGACTTTAACGACTTCAGTAGTTCGACCGACAACCTTTCGATGAACACGCCTACTATTTCTGCTTCCTTAAGCCTGAAACGACATATTAATCTCAACGGACGTAGAAAAAATACTATCGATAAGCAGACATAAGCGCAACTGACTTGACTGATCAAAGCCAACATTTTCATTCCTGAAGGGATCGGTTTAATGGCTACCGTGAGCCGATGGAAAAGTGAAAATGAACCCATTGATTGCCAAAAACAAGAGCTGAAGGGTTCATCACCTCAGACATAGTCAAATCAGTGCAAAATCTCTCTAAATTTATCACTATTGCTGACACGACCTGCGTACAATGCCTTGACGCACGAACGCACAAACATGACTTTGGGGTAAGCGGACTAAA